GCAACACCTGCATCCATTGCCTTTGTGACCTGATCATAAAAGGCAATCAGGTTGGTCTGACATGACCTGCCCCTAATGAAACCGTGCTGGTTGCCCTTGAGCATCATCCCTGAAGCCGGCCCATCACAGATGTGCTCCTTGAGAATCTTCTCAAAAAGTTTGTAAATGAACTCTAACTGTTCACTTGCTAAAGAGGTTTCAAGGGAGGAAAAGAACAGTTGTCAAACAGCCCATGGAAGGCACAAACATATAACAAGACTGATGCCTCCATTGTCAGCAGTGAATGTTACACCATGCAAACTAGACCTAGTAGGGTTTTTTTCCTTCTTCACCAGCTAATTATAGGAAAGCTTGAAAATTATATGATTTCTTTCTTGTCCTATCCAAATTCTGTTGGAATGTTTTGAGAATGGGATTTAGAAGCTTGCTTAGAGAAATCATTGCCGTCACAGAATCAGACAATTTCTAGAACACAGTCTCTTGTATTCTCTCAGGCATTTGTGCCATAAGAATAATACAGGTGATATTTGTCCCTTGAAATCCTTTAGTCAATTTTATCTCAGGCTGACTAAATATTCTTAGACTTTTATGCTTAGTTTTCATTCTTGTTTTGGCATGGAGGTTGGGTAGGGGACTTAGACATTTTCAGCTAAGATGTGAAAACTGAGCAAGAGCTAATTTAATTAAAGTGCACCCCCCCCACCCCAGAGCATGTGTAAAGATGCCCATAGATCATAGGAAAGTAGGACTGGAAGGGGGACCTCAGAAGTTCATCTAGTCCAGCCTCCTGCTAAAGGCAGGATCATCCTTGACTAAACCATCTCAGCTAAGGATCTGTCTAAAACCTGCTCTTGAAAACTTCCAAGACGGCAGATTCCACAGTTTCCTAGGTAGCCTGTTCCAATGGTCTTCCTCATAGTCAGAAAGTTCCTACAAATCTCCAACTTAAATTTCCTGTGCTGCAGCTTGAGGCCATTGCTCCTACTCCTGTCCCCTACAGTCACAGAGGCTGCAGCTTTTCTCCTCACTGGGCACGTCACCCTACCTTACTGTAGCAACGTGCTACAGCAACATAGTGGTCATGTGTCACACATCACCAGCTGCTACTTCACCACAGAGGCAAGCTGCCTCATTTTAACACATCACTATAGCAAAGTAGCGGCTAAAAATAACCATGCACCTCAGAGGAAGCACTAAAGCATGGCCCAGTAACAACATTGTTGTAGGGCGACATGTAGATGTGCCCACTCTTTGCAGTTGATGGTTCCAGACACTGTGCTGAAGTTTGTCAGGTGCAGCAGGCTGTACACATTAACTCTCCTATCACTCACTCAGCCAGATGGTCTGCTAAATTCCTTTCTGACGAGGGGTTGGCTCACTCTCTATCCCACGACTTTCCCTTTGGAGATTTGAAGACATGAGGCAATGTTATAAATATATAGATCTTTAAAACAAACACAAAAATCCTTGCACTCATTTTTTTCCAATGATTTCTGCAGATCTGAATGAATGTGGATTGAAACCACGACCCTGTGAGCACAGGTGCATGAACACTCACGGCAGCTACAAGTGCTATTGTCTCAATGGGTACATGCTCATGCCAGATGGCACATGTGCAAGTAAGTAACAGATAATATTAAACAAGTGCTTTTTACTTACTGATAGCTAATTTATTTGTGACGGGGACCTAGGCTTCAGTTCTCCAATGCTTTCTGCATTGAAGGATGTGCTCTTCCTTATCAACATTTTAAAAAGTATAAATTAAATCAAGCCATGCATGCATTTTTAGTTTCTAGATGAATTTTAGAGAAACAGACCCTTTAAATAAGGTATCAGTGCACAAGTCCTTGTCTAGAATTCAGAGTAATTTTGTCTTACGCCCCCTCAACATGTGCAGGTAAAGGCGTGATTTGATTTAATACGTGATCCACATAATCGTGCCTCCTGCCATGCTACATGTACATGGCAGAAGGAGCAATTGTGGGATCTCATACAAGGTCCAATCATGCCATACTGCCTGTGCAAGGGGAACCCAATCCTGGGCTCCACCTGCACTGGCAAGAAGCAGCCTCCCATGGCTGAGACCCCCCTTTGCTGTGGGGGATCCCAGCTACGGGAGCCCTGTGCAGCCAGGGCCAAGAGAACCCACAGCTGAAGGGTTCTCAGCCCTGGCTTTGCCTCACTGATTATCAGTTGTGGAGCTCTCAGTTCTGGATGTGCATGTAGGGCAGCTGGGGTGAGTCCCATCAATTCCAGGGCTCTTGGTCCTGGGGGCACATGAGGTACAGCTGAGGCTGACAGTCCTGTGAGTTGCAGAGCTCCTGGGGGTCTTCAAAAGGAGGCTAGATAATCACTTAGCTGGGGTCATTTGACCCCAGCATTCTTTCCTGCCCATGGCAGTGGGTCGGACTTTATGATCTGCTCAGGTCCCTTCCGACCCTACCAACTATGAAACTATGGTCCTGGGTATACATGAGGCATAGTCAGGGCTGAGACCCCCATCAGTTGCAGGACTCAGTCCTGGCTAGACATGAGGAGCCAGACTGAGAGCCCCATGTGGGCTGGGGTTTTCATGTACCACACTCCCCGCCCCACCTCCAGCCTTGAGTATCACAGTAGTTGCAATCCTCAGGGCTTGGGGTTTTCACAGTGGGCAAGACTCACCCCTGCAGCTGGGGGTCCTGTCAGCTGACAGAGCTCCCAGCTTCAGGGGAGACCCTGCTACACATGCAAATTAAAGCTCAATAGCAACCAGCTATAAAATTAGTACATATTTTCAAAGTCTAACTTCATAGCTGGTTGGAGCTTTTAATTGTGCGATAGCTACTTTGCACATGTAGTTGGTCTTTGTTAAGCCAGTTAATTGTATGGTACCTGTAACATCTCGAGGAGGGCTTAGTGATTTTCACAGCACTTAATAAACGTTTTTTTTAATAGCTTATGTTCTCACACTTTGGAATGATCTTGTTCTACCCAGAGTGAAAGTGCCAATTTAATATCTGTCCAGTACAATCCTAGATGATCCAAGCAATGGTTTTGGCAGTTCTTCCCCTGGAAGATTTTTCCACAATATATGATTTTCCCTTGATACTTAGCCTGCATTTTCCTGTACCTATTTTAATTCAATTATTCTTTATTATGTCTTTTCACACCACCCTGAACCATGACCTTTTCCTGGTGTTTACACCCTTCATACAGTTATCGTAATAGGTCTATGCACATTTATTCAGCTGTCATTTTTCTAACTGGCTTCCTCATTTTCCTCTAAGTCAGTGCTTGATGGAAAGTTTCTTCCTATCCAACCACATTTTGCAGACTTAAAGAAGTTCAGACTAGAACAGAATGGAAATTTTTCAAGGCACAAAATTTTGTCATAAAATACTCATTCAATGAGCTTGAAATGTTTTGTTTAAAACATCTTGCATTTGACAAGTTTGCACTAAATCCAATGCAGGGTTCTGCAGAACCACTCCTGGCAGCCTGCCCCAGCTCTGTAGATTGGACTTGCAGGGTCTGTAACCCTTAAGCAGATGCACCACATAGACACGGACCTTTTGGCAGATTTGCCCTGGAATCCTGGGCTTCTCACTCTGAGGAGCCCACCTTATAGGTCAATCCTGAAGCTGGGGACCCTGGAAAAGCTGTAAGAACAAAAAAGGCTTTTTGTCCTGGAAGTTGGATTTGAAAGCCTGGGAAGCCTCAGCCTGAGCTTTTGGAAACACTGTAAGAATTTCCTTTTTGGGTAAGCATTATTGAACAGAACAAGGATGAGATTATTTTTTAGGGAGTTTCTGTTTTATCTGATGTTCCAATTCCCTTTTAAATTGTTTTGGCCCTCTTGTGTGCTCACCTGCTTTTAAGTTATTCTGTTTTTCTTATCGTACACTGCCCTGAGCCTCTGTTGGGAAGGGCAGCATATAAATAAATAAATACATAACAGTAAGTAAACTCTGTGTCTGCAGCCTGGGAGCAGTTCAGCTGCTGGATCTGCTCCAAAGCCAGGGACCTTGGAAGAACACAGGCCCTAGGGCAATCCCCCTGGTGGGAATGCAGGATCTGTGGCTCTGGGACAGACCCACAAAACATAGGGCCAGGATCCTGGGATTTCAGGGCAAAGAGCTATGACAGCCATTCAACGCTGTCTTCCTGGAGGATGGAGCTTGAAAGCCTGGGGAGTCCCAGCTCTAACTAGGGTTTAATTCCTTGGGTTCTGTGGCTTAGTTGGAGCCAGGGCTATGAGCTTCCAGTGTCCTTGCTACAGAGTCAGGACTTCAAGCTGGGACAGAATACCAGATTTGTCACTCTGGGGTAGTCTGCACTGGTATTGTTGGGTAGTATGCACTGGAATGGTTTTCCAGGAGCTATAGAGCCTGTCACTGTACAGAGAGACTGCCAAGCTTTGTATTAGGAAGAGGTTGATGCTGTTGCATTTATTGCTTTATATTCAGTTGCATGCCAATCTTTCATCTCAGCTGAGCAGAACCCATTGGCACACGTTATACCCCTGCTTAATGGTGGAGGTATGACCTTCACGTCCGAGTTCTGAGGGGTTTTTTAGTAGTTGCCAAACAACAAAATTTTCTAAACTGATTGTAAAACTGCTGTGCAGTCTGCTATAAGGTTGCTCTAAAGAGTCACCCATGAGTCTTTGTGACCCTAGAGTTCTTTTTTAGCATGGCCCAAAACATTTTCTGTCTGAAAGCAAAAACCTATCCAGTAGTATTTAGGGCAATCTACCATGCCATGATACCCAACTTCCACTAAAAATGGTAGAAATGTAATATGTAAATCTAAGGGCAAAAGTTAGCCTGTAGCAAAGAATGGTTTGGTCCCAAATTAGCCTGCACTGTGAGCATTTTAAATTCAGGGGTTTGTGAAGAGCCATCTCTAACCCCAAGAAATCAGTGTCTGGTCCTCGACAGGTTCTACAGATTTATATATTATGTATCTTATATTATAAACTATATGTAAAACCTAATGACAGTGGGCATCTGCAGGGCCTGGGGGACGTATTTTGTTTTAGAAACACTGTCTTTGCAAGTTTTATCAGACTTTCTGGTTGCAGAATATTGAAACAAACTTTTGGTTTCAGTTTGGTTCAGTGCACAATCAATTTTTAAGTCATTTCCTATCAACTGAAAACCCTGTTTTTTCAGCCATCTGTATTTCAAACTGACATCCAATACCCTTGTGAGTTCATCCAAAAGGTCCCCTGTCCTCTCTGCTCTACTAATTTTGACTCAGTTTTGGGTGCAAACTAACATGCTTATAAAATGAAGTAGCACTTCTCTGAGACTACAATTAAGACCACAAGACTTATTTTTACTTTTCCAGTTAGTACTGAGGTTACTGACTTTTGGAAGCCAGCATTGGTGAAATTTTTGGGGGGTGAAATCTTCAGGGATACAAATCTCCACAGCTACATTCACTAGGTCCCTTTTCTTTAGCAAGAATAGACCCATATGTAAATTAGTATTAAGAACTATAGAGCTAGGAGGAAAGGTAAAGATGAAAAGAATGTCTCCATTGTAAAGCAGTTCACAAAATAAAAATGTCAGAGGACTGTATTAAACCACTGGTGCCTAGACCTTTCCAAGCTGTGGACTGGGTGAGTGGTGCACGGGTGGTCTGTGGGCTGGATCCAGTTCACAGGCTCAGTCCATGGGCCCAATCTGGTGCAAGATTGGCACATGGGCATATTGCTATGCATGGTCCTAGCTTGACAGACTGCATTGGGCCCTGGTCCCACATGCTGAATTTGGCCCACTGCCCTAGTCTCGACCCTGCACACCAGACTGGGTCCACCATCTTGGCCCTGGCCTCACATACAATAGATTGGGTCCATTGGCCTGGTCCTGGCCCCACACACTGCATCAAGCCTTCTGTCCTTGCCCTGCACATACCAGATAGGTCCCACTGCCCAGTCCCACCTGTACTGAGTTAGGTCCACACCCCTGTCTCTACATGCCAAACTGATTCAGCATACAGAGTCATGTCAACTGGCCTCTGGGGCTCAGAAATATGGCAGTGGGGGAGCAGTGCTCCTTGCTGCCAAATTTCAGACCTGTTGGGAGCGCTGGGGGCTAGATGAGACAGAGCTGTGGGCCAGAGGTTAAGTGCTGCTGTATTAAATCCACTATCTAAGTTTGGTAAGAATTGTTTTGTGGGATCAGGCTAGTGCTCCATCTGGTCCATCACAGACAACTGTAGAATAATATGTTCTAGAGAATTTCTTTCTGTCCTTTGTCACTGTAAAGTTGTCTTATGTTCTGAAATATTATTTATAATCCCTCAAATTTGTTGATCTTCTCTATATAGTGCCATGGTGAGTGTTCTCATCTATGCTTCAGTGACTTCAGTGATACTTATCACTTCTCTTCAGAGAGTAAACAAATGATTTTAGCATGAGAAAAATGAAAATGAATTTTAGCATAAGAAAAAATCTAACAGGAGTATGTAACCTATGCATTCAAGAAGCATATATTACATTCATGCACATATGCACATATTTGGCTTGTTTATAGACTTTCAGATTCTGAAAGTGGCAATATTTCTCATAGAGAATTAGTTAGTTGTGTTAAACTGAAGTTAGGCAGAAAGCAGGGTAGATATGCACCTTATAGACTGAGTAAGTCTGTCCCCCTTTTTTCTGTACATCAAATCATTAAATCTTTTAACACAAACAACTGGCTAATATTCAGGTTTTAGTGGGTTGTTCCAAATAGGGGGTGAATTGAATGATGAATCTGGTATTTCCTTGATATAATTCTATTTATTTACAAAAATATTCACACAGCTCCTTTTTCTCAAAACCTGATAGGAATGAAACAGGAAAGAGTTCCTTTGCTCATAGTTACAAGTATTTCTCAGACCAAAAATTTGTCCTAACATGCTCTCTCTGCCTTTTCTCAGGATCACACCGCTAATGCTTTTCTGCCTGTCTCTGGAGCTTCCCAGGTGTCTCTTTTTGTGCTTCAGTGTCGCTTCATCTATGCCTGTATAGAGTGCACTCAAAGGCTAAGTACAGACATTCAAAAAGCCCAAGGCGGAATCGATTTAAGTTGCACCATTTTCTGTAAGTGTCATAGTTTAGATCAGTGGTGGACATAACACTCATTCACCCTTGGAGGGGAGGAGGACAAATCTCAAACTGGGCTCCCTGATTTTTAAACTAGTTCATGTGTGCCGAACATCTGTTCTGTTATGGGTGTAGACCAGTTTCTGATCACTTATACCGGTAAAAGTGTAATGTCTGTACCTGGCCAAAAAGTATGAGTCTCTCAGTCAAAATCTTTCACTTACGTTGCTCAGATTTCTAACTGGACTTGTTTTAGGTGGTGATTGCTGTTTCAGCTTTCTCTTCCACAAAGGAGCTTTATTGTTGTTTACATTTTTTCCTGAATAAAGCATAACTGTTCCATCTACCAGCTTTAAGGAGATTTTACCCAACTTGTGCTAAAACAGTAATCTGGTAGTAATGCTGGTAGCAGTGACTCAGAGAGTTCTATTTTTCTATCAGTTTGGAGAGCTGCATCTTTGCAAGGTAGAGCTGTTGTTTTACTTGTCTGTACCATGTTGTTATACTTGATCAGACCCTGCAAGAGGTCAAAAAGCAATACCTACCCCATGAACTTACAATCTGAGAGAGGGAATAATAAGACACTGAAGAATACATGGGTGGAAGAGAAAGGAAGGGGAAAAGGAATAAGAAAAACAAAGAGGAAAGAGAAGAAATAGCTATATTGGTGTGGCAGACATGTAGATACATCTCTTGTGCTATTGAGTATTATTATGGATGCATAATCAATGCAATGAACAGTTGTTAAGAACAATGTGAGTATTTTGTTTTGCTAAATGTAAAGCTAATTTAGTAAATGGGTTAGTCTGATTCCAGTCTAACGAGCACTTCTATTGCCAGATTCCAGGACATGTGCCATGGTGAACTGCCAGTATGGATGTGAAGAAATCAAAGGGGATGTGCGGTGTCTATGTCCATCAACCGGACTTCAGTTGGGACCTAATGGAAGAACATGTATAGGTATGTTTGGTGGGGTGTATTTTTGCCTTCTAAATTTTTTTTCTACAGGACCATTTAGAACAGAGGTGGACAAAATGGCAGGTCTGACCGGTGGCCGGATTCCATTTAACAGCAGTCCCTGCCGGCATCATTGCAGCAGGTTTCTATGGAAGACCCAAGAGCTAGGGTTTCCATGGAGACTGGCCCCAGCTGGGTGGGGAGCTGCTCCAGGGCTGGAGATGGGATCTTGCGTAGGTGACAATGGTTCGGAGCAGGGCAGAGCTGCAATTCACTGCCTGCACACCCCTGTCTAGGGCATGGGGCATGTGGGCAGTGGATCGCAGCTCTGCCCAGGCTCCAGAGCATGCTGCCACTGCCACAAGTTCCTAGCCCCGGAGCAGCTCCCCACCCAGCTGTGTGCCCTGCCAGTTCTGGTGGGGCCAGCCTCCATGGAAACCTTGGCCCCCGCTGTCACACCCCTGCCACTCCTGGGGTCTCCATGGAAATCTGCCACAATGATACAGGCAGGGGCTGCTGGGAAATAGAGTCCACCATGGGCCTGATCCAGCCTGGGAGCCAGACTTTGCCCACCCCTGATTTAGAACAAGTCCTACATCTTAAAGGGCTTTGAACTGAAGCTGGGGCAAAACTAATTAGTACTGAGCTCTTCCTGTAGGCTCCAGGTTAGAGCCTTATATTATTTTTCAATGTAATTATCCATACTATTTTGAATATTAAAGGACACTATAGTTTTATTCTATGGCCAGTCCCATCCCTGACAAATGACTGCTTCTTTTGTAGTAGGGTCAGAGTGTTTATTTTAAAATAGTTTGGGATATTAAATGAAAGAATAGCTTCCATCTCAAATCAAATACCAATTCTTTCAATTTACCTTATATGGTTAGACAGAAAAATTCCTACCAGAAAATGGAACTATGAATTTTTTGTGTTATATGAACTGTACATTGTAAATACAATTCATCTGATTTTTGCTGCAGGGTATAGAGGCCTTGCCTTAATGTCACATTGTCTAGGGAGTTGTTATGTGAAACTGCAATTGTGGGCTTATTCTGTTGCAATCTGATTTCTCAGTTCAATGCTGTAGTATAAGGCAAGACCACCACATTGTGAAACCTAAAAGGGCAAGGGCTATTTCTTACTGAACTTAAATGAACATCTTTAAACAACTTTGATCATTTTCTGGATGTTGAGTGAACCTGCCAAAATCAGGACTCTTCCACAGAATACAGAGCAAGTGGCAAACTCAGCAGTCCCAATTATCAACAGCCTTAAACTACATACCGATAGAAGGCTTGGGTTGCTGTTGCTCAGAGATCCATCATATATCCACATGGCTTTGAAATTTTACATGATCAGAGCAGAACATACGTGTCATGATGTTTAAATCACTTTTCAAATCAGAAGAAATGTTTAAGATTCTTGGATGAGTCATGTTTATATCATCTCCTTAAAAAAGAGAAAACAGGAAACAGTGTTCTCCTCTACTAGGTTGTGGCCAGGCTTACACAACTGGACAGTGGGGTCAGGGGTCTATTCTACCCTTTATTCCTGTACACACATGTGGGCTGCTCATACCAGGAAGTGAACAGAGCTTTAGCTCTACACTGTCAGTGCACTGACTTATACACTGGACATGTAGGTTAATTGCATAATGTAGAGAGCTTATAATTCCCCATGTTACAAATTTAACAGAAGTAGTAGACTGGGAATCATAGGATTAAGACTGCACCTAGACCAGCATAATAAAACATGGCCCCTTGCTCCAGACTAAACCACAGCTGAGTCCACAATGGAGATGTTCAGTACACAATGTTTGCTTCACAGAATTTGGGGATTCACTGTTAGGAATGACTGAAAGATTAAGGACAAAAGGCCTTAAGTTTATTCCCAAACTGGAAAACTGAACAGAGTTTTGGTTCAGTTCAGTCCCAATATTTTGTTTCTAGTTTGGCCTTTCTTTTTTTTAGTTTACAGTAAAACTTGACATGAAAACCCTCTTCAAAGCGAAAACCTAAAATTTGCATTAAAAGATATTGGAATGTGATGTCTTAACAATTTAGAAACATTTTCAACATTTCTTTTGGGTTGGAAAATATACCAAAACCAAATCATACCATTTCTGTTTAACAAATAAGCATTTTGTAGGGGGAAAGTGGTCAGAAATTTCTCAAATACTTTTAATGAAGAATTTGTAAAACTTCCAGTCTAGTTAGGCAACTTTTGAAAACTGAAATGAAAAAGTGAGAAAATGTTATTTCCTACACTTGGTGACAGGACAATAGAAAGACTGTCCCTTCTACAAATATTATTACTTGTTAAAATGTCTCTAACATACAGGTGATATGGACTATTTCTCATTTTTATTGCACCCATCACAGTGGTATCTTGTCACACTACAAGCAATTTGGAGTCACATGTAGATTATGAAAAGAAAGCTTAGGATGGGATGTCCCAGAGAAACAGGGAAATAACAGTAGCTATTTAGTTTCAGATGTTGCTGAGCAAAACATTTTAAATGAATGAACACTACAGCCAAAAGAATATTTTGCATCATGGAGAGTTTTAATTAACATATCAAACAGACAAGAAATTAATTTTAACTTTATTAGCAAAAACAAAATTATGCACAACCTTTCAAGAAAAAGATTACTTATCAACCCACAGACACTGCTCTAAAGAGGGACAGTAACTACATAAGTTGACCTTTTGTCACACAGCTGCAACAGCAAGTCATACATGAATTTCATGTGACCTGAGAGCATTTTATCGCTTTTAAGAGCTATAGAGTAAACCCATATGGATACGTGGCTCAGCTTCCAAACAATAAACGTGCTATGGTGGGAATATTATTTCTCTGCTCAGAAATGAAATTAATATGTGATGGCCCATTTTTAATGTATCAGCAGTATTCTCTTATCCAGCAACCCATTGTAGTTTTATTATTAACAGTTTGAATTATTTAAGAGCTTTTTGAAGTCAGGCATTCAGGAAGTGTTGGATTTAAATATAGCAGACAGGTCTAGAAGAAGCCCTAAATCTTTCTATTAGTTTTTCTTACATCCATTTTTATTGTTTTGTGTTTGTTGCATCCCCAAGCTTAAAACTGGTGGTGAGGGTGCTTGAACTAAAGCTCATTTGATGAGCTTTAGATAAAATGCCCCTGCCGCTATTTTAAGCATGGGGACACTGATACACAAGACACAGGACGTTGCTGGAGCGTAGCAATTGCCATATTGGAGCAGCCTCTGCACTTGTGTATAGGCGCCCCTCATGTGACCGTGGACGTGTTATTTGGGCCATGGTCACGTTACATTTGTAGCACTGTGTACACCTCTACCCATAGACACTGCTCTAAAGAGGGACAGTAACTACATAAGTTGACCTTTTGTCACACAGCTGCAACAGCAAGTCATATATGAATTTCATGTGACCTGAGAGCATTTTATTGCTTTTAAGAGCTATAGAGTGAACTCATATGGATACGTGGCTCAGCTCTTTCAGCTCTACAGAAAGTCAGCGGGTATACATTCATGCTATGTAGTGTCACAAAAATGGCGGATGCACAAGAAAAGTGTACCTGTTTCAAAGAAGAACTTCTCTGTAGTGCCACATGTAGCACATGGACAGCTGCATATAGTGATATAGGGAGTCTCTTGGACCCTAGCATCCCACTGTGCTCTGCTCTCCCCACTTCCCTCTCAAAGCGAGGAGGGAGAAAAATCTGTTGGGTCCATGACAGTCTCTTGGGGCAAGCTTTGCTTTGCCACTGCTCTGGTCACTAGTGAGCTGGGAGGCAGCATGCTATCAGACAACCCTATCACCACTCTGGGCAATGAAACTGCGGCTGTCAAAAACAGCCTGTCCTCTCCCCTGCTGGGGAAGGGGAACTGGGTAGACTGTCATTGACAGGGTCCCCTGAGGGGGCACGGGAACAAAGGAGCAGTTTTTTATCACCCCCTGGCTGAGGTAGATATTAGGAGAATTCGTAGCACTGACGTGAATGTGTGAACATCCCATGACGCACTATTTCTGTAGTACTACAAAAAGCACTCTACAAATTAACATGTGTCCAAGGCTTTAGTTTTCCTGCACAATCAAAAATAATAGCAATTTCCTACTTCACAGAGATATTATGGGAATAAATATATTAAAGACTGGGAGAAGCTCAGACAGCAAATAGTGAAAGGTATATAAGTACTATAAATAGATATACATTTAATCTCTTTGTTGGGTACAGGAACTCCTGCTTTTTTGGCCCTCAAAGTTAATTTCAGGCCTTAATATTAGTAGTGATCCAGCTACGTTTCTGAGCCATGCATATAACTCAGATAGTTAACCTTTCGTGTGCTAATATTTACCTTCACAATTAATTCCAAGTACAGTCCTTAACTAAACCCTGTATACTCCAGTTTGGAAACCTGAGCTCTAGTTTTCCAGAAAAACATATTCTTGTATCCAAAGCATATTCTTGTATCCTAGTAAGACTAGGAATGGTCTAGAACAGGGCTTGAATTACACTTCAACTCTTCGAGGCGGGGGATCTGCTACAGTGGCAACCAGAAGGAGCTGCCACTGCTGCTACCACCTGCATTGTTTAGAAAGGTGTAGGGCAGCCAGAGGCTGACAGCCCATGAGGGGGTTCTTGTCTCTTATGGGGGGGTCATCCCCCTCAAGCTTCTCTATAATTTGAACCCTGGTTTAGAGGTAATAGTATAATATAGTATTATATATAATAATTGCATCAGAATGTTTCAAAAGCCATGGATTTCTTAGGATGATATCTTTTATTTGACCAACTGTATAGAGTTAGACTTAGACAAGCTTTCAAATGCAAGACATTCTTCACCAGGTCTGAGCAATGAGAACCAAGACAGCATAGTAAAAGAAACAGTTGTAAGAGAGGGGAAAAGATTCTTAGGGATAGCAGACAAACTCTTAGCAGAAGAAAAGTACCTGATCGCTGATTACTGGGGGCATCTACACATGCCATTAAGGCAACGTTATAAACTCCAATGCAGTTCGCACCAGTCACCTGCTCTGGGGCACAGGTATAGATAGTGATGCTTTACTGCAGTGCTAATTAATCAACTCTACAGTAAAGTGCTTGAGTAGATGCACCCACTGATACAAAGCCTATCAAAAAAGAGGAGGGTCTTTCTCACCTTTCATGTTTGGGAAGAATTTGGGGATCAGGTAGGTTACAATGAGCCATAAAACCAATATCAGTGTTAAGTGAAATTGTGGTGGGTGAGGATAATGTGGAGGATTTGTGCAACTTGCTGGAAATCTGAGTGTAATCCATGTTCTTGTAAGTATTTCAGGCAACTGTGTCTTCATAGTGTGGGCCATTAGTGTACAGGCTGGTGACATTCATGCTTGAAAATACAACCTTCTTGGGGAGGTGGTTGATGTTCTGGATTCTGTTGAGGAACTCTGTGGTGAGTTGTATAAAACTTGCTCTTTGATTGACAAGTGGTTTCAGGCTAGTTTCTGTGAATCCTGATAGCTCTTCAGTGAGGATACCACAGTTTGATATGGTGGGTCTGCCAGGGTTATCTTGTTTGTGGTTCTTTGGGTGCACAGAGGAGTTCCTGGGACAGGAGAGTTGGGAATAAGCGGAAGTAGGAGCAGGGGGTTGGACCCGATGATCTACCACAGGGGTGGGTGAAATACAGCCCATGGGCCAGATGTGGCCTGCCAAGAACTTTCTTCTGGCTCGCAGAGCCCCTTCAAAACCCATGTAATGGCGGCTGCCTCTCTAAAAGCCTCCAGCAGCACTAGCCGCTGGCTGCAGCACCTTGGGCTGTTTCCTTGCGTTCTGGTTGTGAGGCAACTAACCCTGACCTCAGCCTGCCCCAGCTGGCCTCGTCCCACCCCTGGCTCAGGCCAGGTTTGCAGCTTGAGAGGGGTGGGGGGTTGGGCCAGAACCTGTGGCGCCGGTGAGGGGAAACAGTCTGGGCCGGGTTCTGCTTTGCTGCACGGGACTGGAAAGGGCCCTGCCCTGCAGGTAAGCCCAGGAAAGCGGCTCCTGGGCAGCATTTCCCTGTGCTGTGTCGCTCGGGCCGTGCAGGGTTGGGCTGGGCCTGCACTGGGGAGGGGAAGCAGCAGCTGGGCCGCAGCTCCGGCCCAGTCAGCACCAGGAAGGAGAGGTGGCAGTGGAGCTGTGTGCTGCTTGGGACAGGATGAGCCCAGCCAGAACGGCAGGGGCTCAGCAGCACTTTCCCTCTGCCTGCACCAGTCAGTCCCGAGCGGCACACGGCTCCGCCGCCGCTTCTGCTGGCCAGTGCAGACCCAGCCGGGCCAGTCCCATCTGGAGCAGCATGCGGCTGAAGCCAGCTTCCCACATGCTGCTGGGGAACTGAGGAGTCCGGCTGGGTCAGCACCGGCCAGCAGATCCGGCGGCAGAGCCATGTGCCACTCAGGATTGACCGGTGCAGGCCGGGGGAAAGTGCAGCTGAGCTTCTGCCACTCCGTCCAGGCTCATCCCATCCCAAGCAGCACACAGCTCCGCTGCCGGTGCAGACCCGGCTGGGCTCCTCCCGTCCCCAGCAGCATGTGAGGAGCTGGCTTAGCCGCATGCTGCTGGGGATGGGAGGAGCCCGGCTGGGTCGGCACTGGCCAGCAGAAGCAGCGGCGGAGCCTCCTCCTTTTGGCCCAGCTGACACAGGTAGGGAAAAAATTCTGGGGGAGGTCTGATGTCCCTAAAACCCCACTGCTGGGGCAGGATGTTAGAGGGGTCACAACCCCTTGCTACCTAGTAAGTTGTGCAAGAGGAGGGACAAAGGTCAGGGGCTAGGGGGCGGGGCTTCTGGTGGCAAAGGTCAGGGGTCAAGGGATGGGACGTCCGGTCCCAAGATGGGGACCAGGGGGTGGGGCAGCTGAAGGGGTGGGGCTACCTATGTGGTCCTCGACAGCTTGTCAAAACTCATCAAGCGGCTCTCCGCCCAAAATAAGTGCCCACCTCTGATCTACCAGGTCCCTTCCAACTCTAGAAATCTATGAAATCTATGAAAATGTTGCTCTCTGACCTCCTCTGTGGGAAAAAGAGATGCTAATTAAAAACAAGGAATTCATAGCATACTCAGAGGCCATGTCCAGATGTACAGGCATGTGCAGTTTGTTACTAAAATGAAATTAGTAACATTTAACCACTTAAAACCAGTTTTGGAGGACTGATTCTCAAACTTTTTTCCTTGTTGGGTTTTCCAGCCTTTCTATATCTAGTCAGGATCTCTCTCTCCCATTGATTAAAAAGGGTAAGTCCCGTTTGCTCTCCTGGGATTTATGGCTCAGCGTGTATACTCACATTCTAGTCATAATGGGAACTTCCGTCTCATCGATTCATGATTTAGCCCTCCAAGGAGCAGTGGAAGAAAATGAACAAAAGACATTTTGCTCTTCCTTCCTTCCCTGACTCTCCCTATTTCTCTTAAATCATATCATCTGGCATTTCCTCCCTCTACTCAGAGCATAGAAGTCACAGAATTTGTGAAGCCCCTTCCCACCCAACTCTTGGCTGTGGGACAAACTACTATCCCTAATGGTAAGAATTGCTGTTGTCTGCCAGTCTTTCAAATGGCCTGTCATTTAACATAGCAGCTCTCCAAGTTCCCAATTAAATTGACTAAACTGTCTCCATTTATTTCATGTAACCAGATGCAAAACAATCCCCAAGTATAAAAGCCACTGGTTATTTTTTATTTAACATAAACATTTTGAACCTTGTGACTTCAATAAACTGTGACCCTTGTGCAAATGACATCACTTTTTGCTTCCTCCTTGACCTTTGTCTTCTCCTTGACCTTACCAAATTCCCTTTTCACTCCTAGATATTGATGAGTGCACCACTGGGAAAGCTATTTGCTCTTATAACCGCAGATGTGTCAACACTTTCGGAAGCTACTATTGCAAGTGCCAGATTGGTTATGAACTGAAATATGCCAATGGCCGTTATGGCTGTATAGGTAAGATGTAGGAACTGGGTTTGCTTGTCTTTTCCCTTTCCTACAACATACATTTTTCCTGTCATTGCTTTACATATATTGGCTTCTGTTTGGAAGAATGGCTCAAAAACAAAAATTTGTTTAAAGTCTCCTTGGGATATTGAGTAGTTTCTATAGCCTGATGACAGATAAGCTACATTTACTAATATCAGTAATGATTTACAATAGGACCTGCAATGCTTGTGTCTTATCTTGCCAAGACCTCATTAGGCACTTCATAAAAGATGTTCAGTAGTTTGTAGTGCAGTCTGCAATGACAAGGAAACAAATGACTGCAAGAGAGCATTCGGATTGATTTAAGGATGCTATTTGAAAGGTTATTTGTATTCTCCTGGCATACAATGCATGGTATACAACCATATTCACATAGTCATGTTTTGATCTAACCAGTGAAGTGAATCCTGATGTCGCTGCCTGTTTATAACGAGGTGTATATATAGCACAGGCAAGAAAAAAAATAACTGCCTGGAAATTACAGATTCTAATTATTTTGCAGATCCATTTAGTATCCAGGTACCATCTCTGAAGCTCCTACACATGTCAAATGCGAAAACAGATGAAACTAATATCCCTCATTGCATTCCATTAACTAGTACCTCCCACTGACCCCCAGGATTTTTTAAGAAGGGCAAAAGTTTAGTTGTTAGAGCAGGCATTGTAAAACATTGCTCTAATAATGCTGTACGCAAGGGCCAGAGGGAACTGGATTAACAGTAAACCCATACAAGAGAAAACTCATGTTTTGTTTTGGGATATTGTTAAAGCAGATCAGGAGGCTGAAGTCTGGGTTATACTCCTGCTGTACTCAATCCTGCAAGAGCATTGAAACCTAAAAAATAGCCTATAGTTTCAGATATATGTGTGTGCATGGGAGAAAATGATGAGGTTTAATGGGCCTGGTTAAAAGCTAGAACTCTGTCAAACTTGTAAATCTGAATCTCACTGGCACTAACTTTTGAGGTGGAGGTCTCTTTGCTTGTTTCCTTTATCAGCTAAAAATAAATCATGGTTAAATAAAATATGAATGGGTGTAAAACTTATTATTTTAAAAGGAGAGAGCGAGGGGCTTGCCCTTTGATAACATGCATCAGGTGTTCTGATGTAACTAACTGTCTGTGCCTATATTGATATGTATGAGTTAAAGCACAACTGTGAACTTGAACAGAAGAAGATTAAAATTACAGCATATTTGCTCAACTTCCACCGGTGTCAGATCAGATAGAAATAATAGTTATGTTGGAACATCTTATGTCAGCATAATTTAATACTGGCATAACTTTTACATGTGTGCACAGGGTTTGCATAAGAACTCAGCTCCCTCATGTGGGTTGTAATGAGAAAAGCCCTTGTGCCACTCTGTAAAATCAAGTAAAGCAGAGAAAATAAAAGTTACTGTCGTTGTTTAAACATGCTGATATCAGTTTAACATAGTGGATTTTACTGAATGTTTTCCTAATAATTTTATTTTTTTACTACAGCTACATATCTATGCTTGGCATTTTACAAACACAAGGACATGAGGTAGCTTCTGTATAGTCTTACAGTCTCAAGGCACAGTTCTGCGATTGTGACTTTCAACGTGGTTGATGTTAGACTTAGAGGTGCTGTCAGGCAAATTGGGAACTAAGAAATTGCATATAATCACTGCTGTACTTATTCTCTTAGCAGAACAATACTTAGAGTCTAAAGGTGCTTGTACATGCAGCGGAGGTTTAATTTTCCCCGAATTTAAACCTTGGGTTCAATTAGGGAACACTACACCCCGTTGTGTGTATGTGGGTGAGGGGGCCCAATCCTTTTTTTTTTTTCTCCCAGCCTACCTGCCTCTCCTGCAGTGAGGGGGCAGGGGGAGAGGGGGTAGCTGCCGGTAGGCTGAGCAGTCCCTGAGCTGCACGAGGCCCAGTGCTTCCCTCTGCAGCAGTAATGCACCCTGGGACTGCCCAAGCCAGGCGCCAGCGGGTAAGTGCCACCTGGGGGGTGCTCCCACCATGGAGGGAAGGACCGGGGTCCTCTGCAGCTCAGGGACTACTCAGCCTGCCAGCAGCTTGCCCCCCCTCCCCCACTGCAGGAGAGGCAGGTAGGCTCCAGTACCCTGTGCACCATCCCAACCACCTGGGACTGTCCAAGAACAGCTGACTTGCCCCTGGGCAAGGTGGTATAAGGGCAGTTGGGTGTGCTGGCAGCAGGAGAAGGCAGTGGAGATTGTGCATGGGGTGCTGAAAGCCCACCAAGCATGAGCTTCCCTAAGTGTGTCAGCTTCCTGTGCCCCGTGCACTTTTGCACTTTGTTAGGTAGCAAACTAAAACACCTCAGAAGGAATTTACCTTGCTACGTTACAAGTCATTTAAAGCTGAATACACCACCAAGCATGTAAATAGCAACACCATTAAAGCGGTGCAAAAGGGCATTTAAGCTGCCTTAAAGGCCAATTTTGTGGCATGTACAAAGGACTCAATTCTACTGTCACTGATATCATTAACCAAAAGCTGCTCTTGACTTTACATGGAGTAGGGTCAACCTCAAAGGTGATTTCATTCTTGGGTGGTCTCAAGGTCATTTATTCTGTTGTTGTGGCTGGTTTCAAGATGGTCTTGATCTAATGGTAATGCTAAAACTAGCCAAAAGGACATGAAAAATACAGGTGGGTTGTTATGAAACTGGTTCCAATATAGTGGTTTTTTTCAGTAAATGATTCTTTTTCCTAGATATAAATGAATGTGCTGCAGATACACACAAGTGCAACCTTCATGCAGAGTGCCTCAATACTCAGGGATCCTTCAAGTGCAAATGTAAGCAGGGCTATAGAGGAAATGGACTTGAATGTTCTGGTAAGTAATGGTTGAGAGCAAGAGGTATACAGTCTGTTTTCAAGCAACTGATAGTTTCTAGAACTTTTTCTAACAAAGTTCTATATGACCAACCCTGTGATTCTCAGCTTATAGTAGTTCAAATCCCCATTGAATCCATATATATGCGAAGTAGTGTAATGAAGTGTGGGGGACAACCAGGGCACCAGCTGTGTTACTGGACCAGCCACTACTGTGCCACCAGCAGTTCAGCCAGTGACACTGCCCTGCCTATGCACCACTGTGCCCAGGGCACTCGGGCATCACACTGCACCTTGGTGTGTATATTATATGACTCTTTTTATGTATAATACCACTAATAATCTATTGACCTAATTCTGTTCCATTACACTAGTGCTACTCCTGTAAAACCTGGGAGCCACAGTGGAGAGCAGAATTTGGTCTGATCTATTTTCTGTCTGTTCATTTAAAAAAAAAAAAAAAGCCTAATTTTCCTCAGACTGTGAGACTGTTCCTGTGGAGAACAATCCAGTCCTTTCCAGAAAAGCTGCAAGCAAGCTCAGGAAAAACTAGGATGGGGAAAAAGGATTGACTTTTGTGTTAAACTATTTCCACTTATAGTCAGTCCTCTGAATATTGTGGACATTCTCTGAAGATGTGTTTGCTTACTACTAAATGAAAATGAGCTTCCCTTCTGTCCACACACACAGTGTGCAGTCAGTCCTTTTACTCTTTAGTCACTAAGATATGTTATAGGTATTCTTATTAATAATCCTGAGATGTGCTGTGATATTATATTCTGTCCAACATCTTATTCCTGTAAGTGTTACCTAAAAGCCTTCCAGTAATACATTAATGCAGCATGATTAGCATGTGTTATGTTCTAGGTGCTTTACAGACATAGTGATTTTTATTTTATGCACCAGAATCCTTATTTCATGTAAGTCAGAATTTGCTAAGTTCAATTGGGACCTGGAGGGGGTGGCAGCAGCTCCCTTTGAAGTCACTGGTACCAACTCCAAGGGGAACTGCACCCACTATTTGCCCATAGCCTATTAATTTCTTAATGTTAAAATGCTTATTATGGTGTACAGCCTTGGAAAACTGTATTTAGTTCCAATGAGTATGGTACACTAACAAAATCAAAACCAGATAACATATTAATATTCTCCCTTTCCATCATCATGAATTGATGTACCTTTCCATCAAGTAAACGCAAGTCTGACTTGTGCCACATGAAACTGATTTACCCCGACAGAATGAAGCAAAAAATCTGATTTTGGTCATATTGATTTGGATTAAGAGCATGATGGCAACATGTCAAAAATTTGTGTAAACAATTTATGTTTATCCATTGAAACTTGTAGCAAAACATATTGAGCTCTCTTTGTGGTTGACAGCTGTACATGTTTGCCCTTTTGCTGCAAATTAAGAGATTTACATTACAACATGTTGTCTACCTCAATGTCAAATCAAGATGCAGCTTCACACCTGCTATGAAATGCAAGCTTGCACATTCAGTTAATCATGCAAGCCAAGTTTCTCAGAGATGAAAAGCAGGGCAAGTGGCAACCATGGTGGGTAATGCTCTATGAACTTTTAAAATTGTCTCTACTACCTATCATAATCCTGGGCATGTTAAAGCAATCTAAATACAGGGACAAAAGGAAATGAATACCTTTGCATGAGGAACTATTTACATGGATAACTGGGTTTTTGACTAAATGAAGCTTTTCATGAAATAGGTCTGTTTTCCATTGGAGAATGTTGAGTTTTCTTTCAAAACTGAACTCCTGAAAACCTTTTAGCCAAACCCTAATATATTTATTTACAAATTTTCTGTCTCTGGGGCATTATAGGCCAGGCGCCTCATTCCCATCGCATTTATGAATCAGCGGGTTCGAACTTCAACGAGCTAAGGAGGATAGTTGGAGAAGCGCT